ATGAATGAATGAAAGGAATAAAAAAAGAAAGAATGAGTGAAATAAAAAATAGAATGAAAGAAAGAAAGAAAAATAGGGAAAGAAAGAGAAAGAAAAAGAGAGAAAGAAAGAAAAAGGGAGAAAAAGGAGAAGAAGAGAGAAGAATAAAGAGGAAAGAGAGAGAAAGAGAAAAAAGGGGAAAAAAGAGAAATATATAAAAAGAAAAAAAAGAAAGAAGGAGAGGGGAAAAACTATCAAGAATGTAACAAGCATGATAATTTTTTCCACTTGATAAGAAAAGTACACAACATGCAAACATTGAGTTACTTTTCTCTTCATTAAAGTCTTTTTCTCTTTTCTTTCTTTCTTTTTCCCTTCTTTTTCAAGTTCGCATGAAACCAAGCGACAGGTTATTTTGCAAAAGAGGTGTCAATTCCAAACCATCAGGTTTGCATGTGTTTGTGTTTGTGTGTGATGCTTCTGAAAACAAAGAGCTCAAGAGTCGCGCGCGCGGCTCAAAGAATGAAAAGGGCACTTCTCCTCTCAAAGCAGAATATCGACTAAAGGTTAAAGGGGAGTGTGAAGGGTGAGTGGGGGGGGGAGGTTGAACACTTGTGACCACACACTAGAAACCCTGGGGCTACTTCCTATATCCAGGGTTGATAGATGGGTCAACGGGTTCCTGGCAGGGCTTTAGAGAGTAGATCGAAGGAGAATAATGGTCCGGAAGTGACGCGTTATTAGATTACCTGAAGTACTTTCGCACCAGCGGATATCGGCCGTTTCTATACTGAAACTCGATTTGTCCCTAGACGCGCCGCAAAATGTTTCGACTTTTCTCGCCAGTGTGCCACCCGTTCTTCATTCGATAGATGGCAATGTAATTATATTTTACAAATTTATTTATCTAGTTTATTTAATTATCTAGTTCTTCAACTATTTATTTCTTAATCTGCGTTTATTTATTTTTATTAATTAACTGTATTAATCTTTGTATTCTTTCATTATCACAGTAAATCGTAAGGTTAAACACCATTCTGGTGTTAAAATAATACCAGAATGGATTAAAATAATCTGAAATAGTTTAATCCCTCTAGGATTAAATTAACACCAGAAAGGATTAAAATAATTTATTTTGGTGTTATTTTTTATTATGAATGAAATTTTATTTCAAATCAAAACCAAGTCAACGATTTGTCAAAGAAAATCAAAGTCAATCTGAGTCTAAGATCAAACTATGGTCAAACTAAGTCTAAGTCTAAGTCATAGTCAAAGTCTTAATCAAAATCTTAGTCAAAGTAATAGACTAAGATTAAGACTTGGACTTAACCAAGGCTTTGACTAAGACTATGCTTTGGCTTGAATCAGTCTAAGACTTGGACTTTGACTAAGAATTAGACTTGGACTAAGACTTGGAATAAGACTTGGAATAAGACTTGGAATAAGACTTGGAATAAGACTTGGACTAAGACTTTGACTAAGACTTTGACTAAGACTTTGACTAAGACTTCGACTAAGACTTTGACTAAGATTAAGAATTAGACTATGACTTTGACAAAGACTATGACTAGTTTTGACTTTGTTTGGCAAATCGTTGGCTTGGTTTTGATTTAAAGTCAAATTTCATTCATAGTAAGAAATAACACCAAAATGGTTTTTTTGTTAATTACATATTGTTTTAATAAAATTCAATGTTTTTCACAAATAACGGAACAAAATGTTTATAAATTCTATTTGTCAATTGCAAATTTTAATTGAAAATAAAAATTGAAAGTTTTTGAATTTTTAGAAAAAAAAGGAAAAAATTTTTCTCGAAAAATATTCTGTTATATTTATTTACGAATTTCTTTAATTGCAAAATTATTCAAAAACATTAATAACTTCTTTTTTAAATAAATATTTAATTATTATTATTTTTTCATAAGAATTAAGATTTTCAAAAATTTCAAATTCAAACCTTTTTGAAATTAAACAACTTATAAAAAGTATTGTTATAAAACATGAAGATATCGATTGCTCGGAGTTGAAGACTCGGAGTGATCGATTTCTTCATGTTATCAAAAAAATATTTCATTATTTTATATTATAAAAATATTTTTACTGTAACTTTTTTACAATTATTTTCATCATTTCAATTTATTTCATTTCAATATTATTTTCTAGAATTAATTCAATTTATCATTTCAATTCAATTATTATTTTCTAGAATTTTTTATTATTTTTTATGAAAATAATTGAATTATTGCACAGAAAATTTTTAAAAAATTTGTAAATAATTGAATTCCTTTGACGAATTTTAATAAAATTTTTAAGAATAATTACATTTTTCAAGGAATTTGATTAAAATTGTATTAAAAATAATTGAAATTCTGCGGTAAATTTTATTATTATGGGAATAATTGAATTATTGCGAAGAAAATAAAAAAATTTGTAAATAATTGAATTTCTGTGAAATTTTTATTATTTATGAAATTAATTAAATGTTTGCGTACAAATGATTGCAGAATTTCAATTATTTTCAAAAGTATTAAAATTCTTTGCAAAAATTTAATTATTTTAAAAAATTTTACTCATTTTCAATATCTACTATTTTATAGTAAAATTTTTCAATTATTTAAAAAAGTGTTGATAAAATTTGAAGCAAACATTACATTATTTCACAAAAATAATAAATAAAATTTTTTTTTAAATAATTGATTTCTTTTGGAGTAGTTTAATTAAAATAGTTGAGATATTGAAAATTATTGAAATGAAGAAATTTTTTGAAAATAATTGAATTTTGAAGAAGAATTTTATTATTTATAAAGATAATTGGGATTTTGACGAGATTTTTTTCCAACTTTGAACATAATTGAATTTTGTGTTAAGAATTTTATTACTTTTGAAAGTATAATTGAATTTATGCAATCATTTATAACGTCTTCAAAATTCAATCTTTTTTTAGTGTTATGAACTAAAATTCTTGCATAAATCCATTGTTTTTAATAATTAGTTAAATATATATTGACAAATTTAACTAATTTTAGAAGATTTTGATGAATTATTAAAATTTTCAAAAAATGTAAGTTCTTTAAAATTAGGTACATATTAAATTCATTCAAAATTTGAAATTTTATGAAATTTCAAATTGAAACCGTTTGAAGTTTATTTATTTATAAAAATTGTAAATGTGACTCTTTAAAAAATTCAATTGATTTTGGAATATTGAAATAAAATTATTCATTAAATAATTTCTAAGTAATAATTTTATGATAGTTACTTCTTTATTTAAAAAGAAATTATTGTTAACTTTAGTCAGACAATAGAAAAAAGTAAAAAAAAAAAAAAAAAAAAAACGGTAGTACCTATAAGTAAGAATCAGTGATTCAAGTAGTAAAAATCAATTTTAGTCAGACAATAGAAACAAAAAGAACACAAGCAGTATAATTAATAACAAATTTGCTTCAAGTAATAAAAGTTAAATTTAGTCGGACAAAATAAACAGAAATCATATAATCTTTGGTAGCACGAAAATTAATATAATCAACCTATAAAGAATTTTAAGAATAGAAAAAGTTTCGCGGTTCGAAACTAAATTAATAATTATGAGAATTATGCATAATTTTGGAAAATAATATTCCTCCCTTTCTCGACAGAGAGAAAAGAGACTCTCGCCTCTAAGAAAAGCTCTCGAAAGTTGAACTGCTTCTATGTTGCGATTCATGAAACTTGATAGTAATTTTCTCAGATGTAATAAGTCAGCAAATAATTATATGATCTTCCAACCAATAGCGTTATATCTAACGCGCGTAGTCCATGGAAATTATATTTCCCCAAGCAAGTTCCTTCCAAGTTCGGAGGGAAACTTAACAACGAAATTGCGGAACTCGATTGTGCAACGACGGAAAGCGCTTCTCTCAATGTAAGGCAGATAGGAGAGGAGAAAACCCTCTCTCTCTCTCTTACAGTTTATCTACAAGAAATCGGAGTGGGTTTTGAAAGCCTCACCAAGTTTCCGACTTGCATCCTTTAATAATAATAATACTAAGTGTAACCAAACCCTTTCTTTTGTTTTCAACTCCACGATAAATTTTTTTATTACCTTTAGTAGTTATTTATTATTTTATTTTCATATTTCTAAACTTAATTCGACTCTAGACAGGGAAAAAAGTTTTCCATTTACAACCTTCTTCACACGAAAATAAAACTTTTTTTAGTCGAAAGTTTTCAAGCCTATAAAAAAATTTTTTTTTTTCTCCAAATATTAATATTTACTATAAATTCTCTCTTCGATATTTTTTTCTCGTCACCATCGATGCAAAATAATTTTATTTCCTCACAATATAATTGTCATAAATTGTTAGAACACGAGATTTTTTTTTCTTTTTCGCGCGCTAGTAAAAGTTGAAAAACCAGCTTGTTCTCATCATCCTGAAAGTCTAAAGCTGCGCTCTATTCAAGACATTGAATTACTTCTGCTTGTAAAAACTCTATGAATATTTAATAAAGATGGTAGACTAAGTTACAATCACTTAGTCGTTTCTCAACTCTGGTCGTGCGCACCTGAATCTTTTAATTATTCCTCGGGCAGCGCCTTGCCCTGACTATAGTTGACCGTAGGAGGAAAAGAGTGAGCAGGGGGATCAAAAACTTTTTTTTTTCACCAAAGAATCCCATCTTTCAAAAGTCCACTGTGGGATAAATTTATTGCACACCAAACCAAACTCGAGAACTTTTGTTTAATATTGTTTTAGTTATAAAAACGATATTTTAAAATGACATATTGTTTCGTCTCATGATATATACCATATTTTGAGAAATGAAAAAGTGGATTATATTTTCATTTATTAAATAGAAAATTAATTATATTTATATAATTAAAAATTGTATTTATAACTTTTATATAATAATTTTAATTTATATTTATAATTTTTATATATAATAATTAAAATTTATATTTATGAAATTGAAAATTATATTTATATAATTAAATATTATTTTAATTCATTGAATATTAATGTTTATTTCCTTTTTTGTTTCAGGTGAGTTCAGTAAACGTACAAATGGGGGGAACTATTCAATAATTTACAAAATGGAAACTGTAAGTAAAATGGAAAATTATGGTACTTTGATTTTGCAGAAATTTCATAAATGTTTAATTATAATTCTTTTTGATAGATTTCCCAAAGTGAAAATTTTTATTACCTAATTTCTGTTCTTTTGTTCTTTGTTTTCTTTTTTTGTTTTTCTCTTCTTTCTTTCGCTTTTTATAACATTCTAAACACTTAACAATTTAAAACAAAAATAAACCTCGAATTTAAAAGAAAGTGTAAATTCTTTTTTTACAGAAAAAAAAATTTAAAAAAGTTAAAATCTAAATATAGAAAATTAATCAGTAAGAGAAAATCTGCCAAAGAAAATATTTCCAAACCATTTACAAAAAAGTAGTAAAAAAGTAGTTTGAAATTGTTTTTAAAAGAAAGAGATTCGAAATCGTTTTGAAAGGACTTCAAAGAATTTAAAAAAAGGGTAAAAACTTTTTTTTACGGTAAAAAATTTAAAATAGTTAAAATTTAAAAATAGAAAGTTCACTAAGAGGAAATCTACCAAAGAAAATATTTTCAAACCATTTACAAAAAAATAGTCTAAAATCATTTTTTAAGAGAAAAAAGATTCGAAATCGTTTTCAAGAGAAAGAAATTAGAAATCCTTTTTAAAGGAAAATATTTTTTTTCACCTTTTTTTTGTCTCTCCTAGAGAATAATTTTATGACTCCAAGTTTTGAGTCGCGAGCAAATGTCGCCGGGTGAATGATTACAGATAACTTATTTTTTTTCATTTCTCCGGTAGAATTCCATTAATCGTAGTCTTCATTACGAATAATTATATTCAGCAAGGATCAGTTTAGTGAGTCGCGTCTTCATTTTTAAACTCGTCGCGTAATGCAAACTTTCTGACCTAATAAGATATTCCTGCAGGTATAAGATATTTGTTTCCGGTACTTTCAGTAGATTTATGTAAATCTTTAGTAGTAGTAGAGAGAGTGAGAGAGAGAGAGAGAGAGAGAGAGAGAGAGAGAGAGAGAGAGAGAGAGAGAGAGAGAGAGAGAGAGAAAATTGCAGTAAAAAATAAGAGAAAATTTTTTTTCTCTATATTAGAAAGAGAAAGAGAAATCTCGTGACAAACTATGATAATTTCAAACGATCATGCAAATTGTGAATAATTTATATTGCATGTACGTTACATGATTGTTTTACTAATGAAATGTTTTGTTTTGATTAAGCAAATATATCATATGGTTCATCCAATTATTCCATCGGCATGGGCAATTTTTTTTAGAATTATCTTTATCACACGAATATTTATTTTTAGAATTTTTATTTATAGTTATTTTATTCAAATAAAAAAAACTGATAAATATTTTTATAAATGGGCATAAATTTTCTTCATACTTTCGAGAATAATTTTTTTTTTTATCTAGAAAAAATGTTTATTCAAATAAAGGTATTTAGGAGAAAAATATTTATTTTAATGAAAATTTGAAGAAAAAATGTATTTATTTAAATAAATACCTCTAAATATTTAGAAGAACTTAATATTTAAATTAAAAATTAAAATATTTAAAATTAAAAATTTTAATTAAAGCAGTATAAAATATTAAATTTTTTAGATAAATTTTTTACCTTATGGTTTAAATTAATTTTCATATCCTCCCCTTCACAGTCTGTAATGAATCTCAATCATTCAAGACCCTTAGTAAAAATAAATTTGAAAACACAGCGCACGGAGCATTAAACATTTTCAGACGGTTTTGCTACTTTAAATAATCTTGTTTCTAAAAGAAGGGGAAAAAGCAGCGCAGTTCCAGTGGTTTCTTTCAAATTCCCGAATGACGGCAACATAAATCTGCGAAACCAAGTCGGCGTATATAGGAAATAAAAGTCAACGCTATGCATAGTTACTTGCGTCTTTTTTTTCTCTCTCTTCTCTTTTTTTTTCCTTTTTCTCTCTTTTTCACTGAATGAACGTAATTCATATCTTTAACCGGCCTTTAGCAGAATAAAACATGACTACGAAGACGACGACGACGACGCCATTGCCATGGGAAAGGAAAGCAGCTTAAGGGGAGCTTTACATGACGCTTTTTACTCATCGTGTCCCGCGGTGTATTTCGCGAGAAAACCGTATGTATATGTTAAGTGAAAGCGGCTCTCACCCTGTCGCGTCGTGTCAGACTTTACAATATGAACGCAAAACACCAAGAGAGTAGTGAACTTCCAAGTTTCCACGAATTCACAAGTTAAGATTGTCTAAAGTGTAGTTTATTAGGAAACTAGGAACGATGGTAATGGTGAAGAGGAGGGGGAAGGGAGGGGGGGGTAACATCCACCCTTTTCCTGTTCCCTGCCCATTCTACAGTTAGTTTACCATAATGCACCACAAAGCTCAAAGTACGGATAGTAGTTTCGGTGCAAGGCCTTGTTATAAACAAGTTGAAACCATACAGTTGCTAGATTAAAGTCAAACATGTATAGGTACATTCCCTCTCTTGCTCTCTCTCCCTCTCCTATTCTCACTTATCCCCCTCTCTCTCTTACTCTTTCTTACCCCCCCCCCCCTCTCTAAATTACAGCTAAATTCTGTTCTAATCTCCACTAGACAAATAAATTTCATTTTTTCTCCTATTTTTTCCAATAGCAACATTACTTATTGCACTTACCGTCCAGCTGACAAAGGAAAATACAAAAAATACGTTTTCATAGTTTTTACTGTAAAAAATTGACGTTAAATTCCAAAATAAGACTTTCGTTTGAATTACCTTGCACTTACCGTCGATAATTGCGGTAAATAACTCTGCTTTGTAGACACTTACCGTCGCCTATCGGTACTCGTCATTTTGTTTAAAATACAACCAGCAATGTTACCTATCAAACTACGAGCTAAATTTCGAATTTTTCATTAGAAGCACTTACCGTCGATTATTCTTCTTGTAGACACTTACAGTCGTTACTGGAACTTACCGCTAATTGCAAATGTAATTGACAACATGTTACCTATCAAACTACGAGCTCGAATTTTTCATTAGAAGCACTTACCGTCGATTACTCTTCTTGTAAATACTTACCGTCGTTACTGCAACTTACCGCTAATTGCAAATGTAATTGATGAATATATCTAGGTCTTTTTATTACAAGTTGATAATTATTAGCACTTACCGTTTAATAATAAGTTTAGTAATAAGTGCTACTTTTATTACTGGCAGCAATTTCAATTTTCAGTTTCAATGCGAAACTTCACTTACTGTACAGGTAACAATTAGAACTACAAAATTGTACGTTTTATAATTTTTACAGTAAAAAATTGCCGTTTAAGTTCCAAAATAAGATTTTAATTTGAATGATCACCTTGCACTTACCGCCGAAAATTGCAGTATGTGTCTTACCGACTTTTATCAGTACTCGTCATTTTGATTTTGAAATACAACTAACATAATAATTACCGATCGAACTACAAGCTAAATTTCGAATTTATCGTTAGAAGCACTTACCGTCCTGTTTAAAAAAGCCAACAGTAATTGCAAATATTGCCAATAATCGCAACTATGATTATTGACAGTAAGTGCAACTGGTAATACTTGCACTTACCGATAAAAGTGACCAACTGTTTAAATTCATGGTAACGATTATTACTATCGTTACTGGCACTTACCGTCGATTGCAATCATCACTATATTGAAGCAAATAATTGTAACTATTCTTATTAATAAAACTCCACTGCGAGTGTTATTATTTCCAGTGATTAAAAATATTTTCATTCACTGTAAGTGCAACTATTATTACCAGTTACAGCAGGGTAAGTGCACTTACCGTTAAAGCAAAAAATTGCAACTATTATTATTTCCAAACGTTACTTATTATTCGCAAATAATAAAAATTATAATTTCAAATCTTATTATTGACGGTAATTGCAAAAATTCTTACCAATTACAGTACGGTAAGTGCACTTACCGTTGAAGCGAACGATTACAACTATTATTATTTTTAAACGTAAGTCAAATTAATAATAATTGCAGTTATTATTATTCAGAAATAATAAAATTTAAAATTTTGAATCTTATTATTGCGACAGTAAGTGCAAATATTTTTACCAGTTACAGTACGGTAAGTGCACTTACTTTTAAAGCGAACGATTGCAAATATTATTATTTTCAAACGTTTCTGTAGTTATTATTATTCACAAATAAGAAAAATTATAATTGCAAATCTTATTATTGACAGTAAGTGCAAATATTCTTACCAGTTACAGTACGGTAAGTGCACTTACGGTTAAAGCGAACGATTGCAAATATTATTTTCAAACGTTTCTGTAGTTATTATTATTCACAAATAAGAAAAATTATAATTGCAAATCTTGTTATTGACAGTAAGTGCAAATATTCTTACCAGTTACAGTACGGTAAGTGCTTTTACCGTCAATAATAAAAAGACAGTTATAGTTAAAAGTTAGTTTAAATTAATCAATAATTATAAATATTCAAATTTTCGTTCTGTATTTACTGACACTTACCGTCAAGTATATCCCGATAAGTAACGATAAGTGCAACTCGACGGTAAGTGCAAATTCTGAATTATTAATTAATCATTAAAATTTTATTTTTAAAATTCTAAATTAATTAATTCACAACTGACAATCTATTCGAATTTCAATTCAAAAATTAAAATCTAAAATTTTCCATAAATTCGAATACAACATCGTATCAGAAACAAGATATTGTCACAAAAGCAAATTGACACCAAACGCACATTGTCCCTGTTATAATATAGATTAAAATCAAGGAACTTTTGCGGTTACATAATACAAAACCCAGACTATATAATATAATCTATAATGTATATATTAATAGTTATGGAGATCAGCGCGAGACAAAATTTTGTTGCAAGTTTTCAATATTAAAATTGAATAGGCTGGAGAATATGAGACACTCGTCTGCCATCGGAAATGTTAGTAGATTGGATATGTCCTTTCAAGAAGGAAACTTATCGACATTTCTGCCATCTGCGAAAGAGCCTTTCATTATGCCTGAGAGTAGCAAAAGAAGATAACGTGATCCTTTTGCTTTTAATCTCATATCCAATGAACTCTGTCCTCTTTATTGCAAGAGAAAAAAAAAGAGAGAGAGAAGAGAAGAAAGGAAAACGTCATCTTATTCATTTATTTACCTTTGACAGATTATTATTACCTTTTTTTTATTATTTATTTATTCATCTTTTATGTATTTCAAATTTTTTTTCATTATGTGATTTCCGTTTTAATCATTTTCATCTTAATAATTTCTTTTCTTTTTCTTTTTTTTTGCTGACATTTATCAGTAGTTTGATTTCTATTTTGCTTTATTAATTTTATCGATGGCCTTTTTTAGGATTGAGTAAATTATAAAAATAAAGTAATTAAATTATAGTTTAATTAATTTTAAAAATTGAATCGTTTGGATAAAATTAAATTTACATCTTTATTATTTAATTTACATTTTTGTTCTTAAATTTACATTTTTATTCTTTAATTTACTCTATACATTGTAAATAATTAAAAATAATTCTGTCCTTTCTTGATGTTTTATTAAATATCTAAATTAATATCATAATTAAATTCACATTCACTTTCTGTAATTACAATCAAGAGTGTGTAATTTTCTGTGAAATTTTGAGAAATTCAAACGGTCTATTGCAGACGTTTCTATATATATATATATATTGCAATTGAAGAAAATGCAATCGACTAATGAGAATGGTAGACGGGGAAAATAAATGAATGTGAGGACTTGCACGAAGCCGTTTCATTACAGCAGGTGCTACGGCCGAATGAAAGAGATGCATCGACCGTCGAGCGAATACTCTCTCTCTCTCTCTCTCTCTTTTTTTGAAAGCGGATTTTGTAGTGTAAAATTAGTCGCCACGCGACTACGTTCTTCGGCGCCAGATGACCATCCAATGCGATAATTCACGAAGGGAGTAACGGGCAGTTCCTTCGTAATTTGTGGGAGAGCACACGATGCGTGCTTGGAACTAGCGCCCATTTTTCAGTAACACGAGCCAAATTAACGCCGTAAACAATTTTGTCGACAAAACGAAATATGGATCTCTTTACGTGGAAAATGAGCCAACTTCAAATACTATCTATAGACTTGAAATTATTTATTTATATTTACGGGCAAATAATAATTTTAAAAATTTAGAAATTTATAACTTCACTTTAAGCCGATTAATATTAATGATTTAACATTTATATTAATTGTTAAAAACTCTCTTGAATCAATTTCTGATTATAAACAGTTCTTGAATTCGGAATATTTTGAGATTCAATATGGCGATGTTTTTTTCCACCTGCGAACGCCAAGGTCACCGCTAGATGGCAGTTCAGTGGACAAAACCATATTGCCACCTAGTGTTGACCTTGGCGTTCTCAAGTGGACAAAATTAAACCACCACTTTTATCCCTCAAATTGTTTAATTCCTAACTTTTTATAATTAAAAAATTGTTATCGTAAAAGAATTTAAATTTAAATAATTTAAATTGTTTTCTTTCGATACAATTTTTTATTTATAAATTTACTCTAAGGTGCGATAAAATTAAATTTAATAAAAAATATAACTTCTGATCTTATTTGAATATTATTCGTAAAAAAAAATTTCAGAACATAATTTATTTCGCTTTTTATTACGAAAAAAAATTTATAAATGCTTCTTGTTGATAAAAAATTATATTAAAATATTTTCTACATGAATGTAATAAAAAAAATACTCAAGGAAAGACAAAGAGAGACAGAAGGTTAAAAATAATATTTTATTAAATTTAGAAGAAAACTTTTATTTAAGCGAGTACAAAAATAAAATGCAAAAGAATACAATTGAAATGTGCCTGAAATTGCAATAAATGTTAATTTAACGAGCAGATTTCATTCTCAATTGACATAAAGGAAAACACAAATCCAAGCATTTTATGTATTTATATCCCCCTAAAGAATGCAAGAGACTACAAATAAATCCGTTAGAAAATCCTTTTTGAAAAGAATCGTGATATTTCATTTTTTTATTTCTTTTACACAGTATATGAAAAGAATGAAATTCATTCGGATATTGCGTTTCAAAATAAAAATGAAATTAAAAAATGTATTATGTTCACAATTTTTTTAATTGCATACTATTTTTTATAATTGTGTTTGTAAAATTTTGTATTAAATTGTTTTTATATATTTTTCAATTTACTAATTTTTATTTATTAATTTTTATTTATTTATTTTATTTAATTAAATTAATGTAATTATTTGTATAATTTTTTATATAATTAATTGTTTATCTATTTTTTTTTGTCTTTACTAACTAATTCATAATTTTGTAGGTAGTGACGTATCACGAATACGAGCAACCTTTTTGGACACCGAAGTCCTTCGTGAGAAATCGGAAGAAAAATGGGATTCGACAGAAGACCGAAAGTTGACGAATACTTGCCGGAAATTTACGAAACCTCATTACAGGCTTAGCTCTCATTAGATTAGGATGTTATTTGCAGTTACAAATATTTCTTGTATTAAGAATAAAAACAGTCTTTTTTTGCCTAATTATAGTAATTTTGAAAATAATTTAACCAGGGATGTTTGAACAATTTTTTTTTTAAATTGTAATTGTGTTTTTTGACGAGGAAAAAATTATTTCAAATGTATTTTTCAAGTGATTTAAGGATGAAAAGAAGAGGAAATACAAAGAAACGAATGGGGTAAGTAAAAAAAAATTATCATTATCAATACTTTCTAAACTTAAAAAAATGTTTTATTTCTAAAAATTATTTTTTTAACTGAATTTTATTTTAAGTAGTTTTTTTTTAAATATAATATTTCAATTAACTTCTTTATTCAATTAATTTTATTTTTTAACACATTGTCTAACTCTAAAATAATTGTAAAAAAAATAAAAATAGTAAAATTTTAATTAATTTCTGAATAGTATTTTTTTTATAAATTTTTAAACTTTAAGATAATTATTTTCATTATTTGTTTATTAAATTGAAATAATCTCCATTGTTTGGGACAATAGAAAAGGTCAACGACCAGGTAATAAATAACCAGTTGAAATATTCGGTAGAATATAATTGTGCCCCTGGATTTTATAACGGCCGCTGCGCGCGGTTTGGGAGGGTTTAGTACCAGTCAGGTAGCAGTGAGCAGGTAGTCCGTTCACTGCTACCTGACTAGTATTATCCCTTCCGGACCGCGCGTAGCGACCGTTATAAAATCCAGGGGCTCAATTTTGAAGTTAATAATTTTGAGTCGCTCATTTTTATTTCTTATTTCAGGAACTTCTCTTCAACATTCTACTTCGAAAACTTGGTGTCTGAAGAAAAATTATTTTTCTACTCAACATACAGTGTTAGTTCCGGGAGTGATTGAGTTTTTTGTAACAATTTTAAAATATTTATTTTTAATTTTTTTTAAATTCATTTTTCAAATTATTTTTCTTTCGAAAGTGATTGTGTTGTCCTAATGAGTGGATTTTTTTAATAATGTGTTTGGTAGAAAAAAGTGATATTATAATAATGTGTTAGTGAGTGTTAAAGTATATAAATGTGTGAATTTCTTTTTTTTCTGGAGAACATCGTGGGATAATCAACTGTGAATGAAGATTTGACTTTGGTAAATAGAGTAAACCGTGAGTTTTCCTAATCTTTATAATTAAACATTTTACTTCAGCATATGTTTCTAAAAATTGAGAATTAGTTTTTTTTATTTTTTCATTTATAATTTCTAAATTTGGTTTTTCTTTCTTTTAAATTTAATTTTAATATTATAAACTTAATGCTTATATTAAAATTCTTTTTTAAAATTCTTTTTTCCTTTTTTCAAATTTAATCTTAATAATATAATTTTTTAGTTTCTATTATTAAATATAATTTTAAATGAATAAAAATTAAACTTTATTTTTATATTATTTTAATTCTAATATACATAATTTTTAATTTTAACTTAAATTTAAAATCGTTATTTTATTATTGTGAAGTTTTAAATTTTAAATAATATTAAATGAATTATAAAGTAATAAATAAAGTTAAATAATATTATTTCGTTTATAATTCCTAATTTACTTTCTCTTTCTTTCAAATATAATCTTAATAATATAAACTTTGTACTTATATTAAAATTTAATTTTAAATTAAAACTTAACTTTATTAAAATTTCAATTTATTTCAATTACGAAAATTTTAATTAAAACGAAAGTTAATTTACACTGAAAAAATATGTAAAATACAAAATTTTTTTTGAAAAAATATTCAAATACAAAAATCATTTTAGATGATTTTGTTTGAAAATAAATTGAAATTTCATTTTTTCAATTTTTAGAAACAAGAAAAATTCATAATTGGTTTCATATTTCTGTCGACAAAAATATTAGTGCGTACTTTCGTCGTACCCTAAAAAAATTTTTAGGTTTTTTATAAATTTTTTTCAAAAAAAATTGTACTAAACCTTCTTGTATGTTTTGTCAATTTTTCATAATATATTTTACAAATTTTTTCCAATTTTCATGTTCAGACATTTAGTTATTTTTAATTTTGTAATTCATTTCTTTCTTCAATTCTTTTTTCAATTATTATATTTTCATTTCTTTATTAATTTCTTTATTTATTATCATTTTTTTTTATTTTGCACTATTATTTTAAAATTCATAATTTATTTTTCTATTTTTTTATTTTCATTCTATTTTCAAATTTGGAAATTTGTTTACATTTATTTAATATAATTAATATAATTTACTGAACATTGTATTTTTATTTTTTTGTACATTTAACGTTCTACAATCAATTAATTTGTTCAAGTATATTAAATAATTTTCTTTACGTACTTATTTTAATATTATTTTTCTTATTTTCTTACTTTAGATTTTACCTCATTTTACCTAATTACTTTTTTTTTACTATTTTCTGATTTGTTTTTTTAAAGTAATAAACAATTTATTTACTTGTTAATTTTTTATTTAAAATTATGAATTAAAAATTATTTAAAAATAAAAATTTTGATATTAACTTAAAAACGTAAAGTAAATTATTTTTATTATTTCCTTGATATTTGTGAATTATTATTTATTAGTTATTAAAATGAAGGAAAAAGATTTGTAAAATTATATATGAAAGGAGGAAAGGAGTTTTTTTTTGTTGGTACAATCTTTTAAAGTAAATATTAACATATTTTGATTTTTGACAATTTTATTTCATTTCTCAAAAAATACAATCCTTTCTTCTTTTAATCTTTTTTCATAAATTAACGGAAAACGACTGTTTAAAATAAAAATTAACATATTTCGATTTAGGAAAATTTTATTTCATCTCTTATAAAAGGCACATTTGCTTGTAACTCTTTTTCTTCTTTCTTCTTAAATGAACCAACATCATTTCTTTTCGAGGCAAAAGAGAGCTTCAGTCTTTAAAATATCTGCACAGAAATAAGAAAGTTTATTTTAGTAATCAATATAGCATTTAATGTTAATAAAAGGGCACGCACAAGGTATGTACTTTTATTTTTGTGAAGAAATTTAAGGAATAAGAATAATTGAAAAAAATAAATTTCATTTAAAAACTTAAATTTTTTTTCATTCCTCATTACTGTTATCTTTATATTTGAATCAATTAGAAGGAACAGTCATAATTATACATCATCATCGATTTCTATTGATGGAAATTGAAATTGATGCTTTATAATTATCACTAAAAATACTTTTGATTGATTTAAATAATCAAATTTTCCTCTTCTTTCAACTCTTTCCAATCTTCCTCCAACACTTTCCATCCTTAGTTCCTAAACCTCCCCTCCTTTTTTCTACTCTTTCCGATTTTTCTATCCCCTCCCTTTCCTACTCTTACAATAGAGAGTTAGTTCTCTGTTGGTGGAAGGAGTAGTAGGAAATGGAGGGGATAGGGAAAGAGAAAGTTAGCGACTTCTCTCTCTCCCTAGGGAGAAAAAGAAGTCGTTTCCCAAGTGGGAGAGTTTTACGACTTTCTCTTCCACTTGGGATAAATCTCCCACTTTGGAGAAAACAAAGTCGTCCTCGAGGAGAGAGTTTCCGACTTCGATCTCCTCGAGTAGGGAAGTTGGAAATGACCGAGTCTTTCCACTTCCCAGTAGAAGTCGAAGTCAAGGAGAGGAGAGGAGCACCACAACTTCTCTCCTTGAGAAAGAAAAATGGGGGGGTGTACGTCAATTTTTTTTTCATCTCTAGAGGTCTGTATTCACAGTGACCTTCTTACCCGTTCGACTTCTTCTGGAATTGAGAAAGTCGCCATCCCCTTTCTGAGGACGACTTCTGACTTTTCTCTCTTCCTACTCAAGGAGAGTGAAGTCGACAACTTCTCTCCTTGAGGACGACTTCGTTTCCCAGGTGGGGAGAGAAAGTCGTCACACTCTCCCCTGGGAAAGGTAAGGGGGAGGAGGTAATTCTCAAGTCCTTCACTAGGGAGTCTGTGAAGGACTGAGTTGGTGGAAAGACTTTCTTTTGGAAAGAAAGGCTTGTTGCAAGTCTTTTCCACCAAAAAGGAAGGGAGGGAGAACTGATGTCTGCTCTTCCATTGGTCAACAGAGACTAGCCGGTCCCCCAGGGAAAGATACGACACTTCATCTTCCTCCCAAAGAGCAACTTCTACTGGGGGGAAGAAGTTGCCCTACTCCCTAGAGAGTAAGAGAAGCGCGTTTTCCCTAGGGGAGACTGAGTCCCTCCAAAGGAGAGGTGACATCAGCTCTACTAGGTAGATAGAGAAGTCGGTCCCCCAGGGAAAGAAGACGACACTTTGCCTTATTCGCCAGAAGTAAAGCAATTTCTACTAATTTAGAAATTGACCCACTGCCCAGAGAATAAGTAAAGTGCGTTTTCCCTAGGGGAGACTTCAAAGACAGAGAGACAGAAAAAATAAGAAGAAAAAAGAAGGTAGAAAAAAAAGATAGATGAGAAACTTCCCACTACAACAGAATAAATGAAGTGCATTTTCCCAGAAGAGACAAAAAGATGGAAATAGGAGAAAACATGAAAAAAAATAAAAAGAAGAATATTGCACTTTAAATTCGAATCGGCGAAAATTTCCGATTGTTATTCAGTAGGCAAGGTTAAATTCCCTTATTTCTACTGAATATGTGAAGTGCGTTTTTACTACAAGGACAAAGATGGAAACAGAACAACAAATGAAAAAAGCAAAGAAAAATTAAATCTGAATCGGTGAAAATTTCCCAGATTTTAATTCAGTGGACGAAGTTTCTTTGATAAATCAGTGGAACTTCACTAAAATTCTCACTGGAATTCCACTAAGAATCATAGTTTTTACTGATCCTCAATGAAATTTCACTGATTTATCAAAGAAACCTCGTCCACTAAATTCTGGAAAATGTTCACCGATTCAGATTTAGAGTGTATTAAAACGTCTTGGGACATAATTTTATATATTCGAAATAGTTACTTTTGCAATTATTATCTTATCTTACTTCAGGATCAGTAATTACAAATAGCCAAAATTAATTAATATTTTGTTATTATTTAAAGTTTATCGTTGGTTGTAATTGTTTTTGTACTTCAATTTAATGCATTTTTTTCAAAAACGAATATTTATTTCATTTTAAATATTAATTTATGTATATTGATATTAATTTATTTATATATTTATTGGAAATTTTCAAATAAAATTTATCTTAAGTATTTTTCAATAATTAATTTTTATAAGTTTTAATTCTAATTTTTG